GTGAAAAAAAAACTTATGAAAAAAAGTTTAAAAATACCTGCATCCCGGTCAACGCAATGAATAGTCGTAAGACATCATTTGCGCCTTCAAATATGCGAAAGATCCTCAAGTCGCGCATCACCCTTTCCAGACCACATTCCCTCATGTAGCCCATGCCACCGTGCAACTGTATTGCACGATCACAAACATTCCATGCATTCTCCTTCAATTCTGTTGGTTATTATGCGTTTTGTGCTGTGTAACAGCGTTACAAAACGCATATTGTCACGGGGTTGTCTGTGTGTGTATGTTTGTGTGTGTGTCCCACATTTTGTCCCGCACTTTCAACTCGGGAACCACAAAAGCTAGGCGGCTGGAATTTTGGTATAGTGTGTCCCCGCCAACGGGTGACGCGCAAATTAAAATTCAGCCTTCCCATACCCACGGGTAACATGTACGGCCTCGTGAAAGTTCTTTACGGGTAAATCAATATCTCAGGAACTACGGAGTCTAGGAGGCTGAAATTTTGCAATAATGACCCCTTGCGCACGCTCAACCTTGCCCATTCAAATTCAGCCTTCCCGTACCTTTGGGTAACTCGTACGGCCCCGTGAAAGTTTTTTACGGGTAAATTAATATCTTAGAAACCACTGAGTCTAGGAGGCTGAAATTATGCAGTAATGACCCCCTGCCCACGCTCAACCTTGGCCATTCAAATTCAGCATTCCGGCGCTCTCGGGTATCACCTGCGGGCTAGTGAAAGTTTTTACGGGTAACTTATTATCTTGGGAATCAAGGGGTCTAGGAAGCTGAAATTTTAGGGCAGTAACTCCCCGCCCACGCTCAACCTTGCTTATTCAAATCCAGCGTTCCCTCGCTGTTGAGTACCACTTATGGCCTCGCGAGAATTTTGGTGGCTAAACTATTAACTAGGGAATCACGGAAAGATATTCACTCTTCAAGGTCTCGAATCAGCTTTCATGCGCTGGCGTGTAAAATTTGTAACTATTTTCCAATTTTTCAACTATTTCTGCATAGACGAAAGTACAAAGCAGTGAAAATCATTAATAAGCAATCGTTCGATGGGCTGAATTGCACAAAACGCAT